GCGGCATCGGCGGCAGCAGAGAGGTCTCCCCCGGGTCTTTTTGCGGTCTGGGCTTTCTGGGTCTGTCGCAGCCCGTGGCAGAAAGCCCTTACCCCAAAGAGCATCCGGGGCTGCACAAGGCATCTCAGGAGCTGCGCATCTGGACGGCTCGGCTCGCGACCCCCACTCCCCCCGCCCAGGGGGGAGATAGGGGAGGAGGGGGCTGGTGCCTGGGTCGCCCCCCCATGCTGGAGTCCCGGACTGGACTCGAACTGGGACACCAAGAGAAATGGGCTTTAACACTTCCTCCTGCGCACGCCCCAGCAAAGACCAGTGTTCCCCCGCGCCTCTTTGATTCTTCTCCGACCCGATCCCTCCCCCAGCAAAGACCCCGGGTCCGAGCCCCAGAGCTGAACCTCTCCCGCACTTCCAAGTTTCTCCAGTTGCGCGCTATTTTCAGCCGTGCCCCAAGCAGGGGGCGGGGCCCTGCCCCCTGGCTCCAGGATCTCAGCTGGCCCCTTCCCCCAGACCCCCCTCCCCTTTCGGCACAGGAAAGTCTCCCGCGCAAATTCACTGCACTTCATTTTCAGAAGGGGTGGGCGCGCCTTGATCCAGCGCAGTCGCGGGGCTTTCGGGACTCTGGATGGAGCCTCTGGGAGCCGGCCTCTCACTGGGACCTGGGCAGGCTCTGAGCCCAGCTGTCTGGCGCTGGTGGGAGGGAGGGGAGCTTTGAAAATAGCGCTGTGCCTGTTGGCAAGGAAAGCAGGGGGCAGAGCAGGTGGAGGATCCAGCATCACTGGGGGTGAAGCTGGAACCAGGGAGGCTATGGCTGGAGCCTGGATGGGATGCAGGGCACACTGGGCCTTGTCCATCCTGGGCTTGTAGACAAGCCAAGCTGGAGTGAACAGGACCCCACCAGCCCCTCAGTGCCCCTATCCCACAGCCCTGCCTGGCCCCCAGCCCCACTGTGTCCCCCAAGCCAAGCCCAATGCTAGGCAGCCCCCCTAGCTAGAGGGTTTGGGGGCTTCTGGTCTGGGCTCTCCTATAGGGCACAGGTTGGGGGAGGAGGGGTGGAGTGGGCTGTTTCCTGCCATCTGCCTGGCCATGGGTCTGGGGCCGCCAGCCCCCCAGTGCATCTTTCATTAGCCTGCAGTGTTCGTCAGTCCCTGCACACACTCCTTTTGTCCATCTGTTCAGCATCCCCCACCACACACACACACACACACGCACACACACCCTCTCTGCCATCCCTCAACCCTCCCACCCTCCATGCACGCTGCTGTGTCCATGTGTCTATCCGGCCTTCTGGCTGTCCATCCAGCCCCTGTCCACACTGGCTGGCACAGGGGGACAGACTCCTGCTAAGCCTCACTCATCTGCACCTCCCCCACTGCCGCACATGGAAGAGGGGGACACTGGACTCCCCAGAAGGAGGAACTCATTTGGGTCTTGATCTGCCCCTCACCCCCAATCAAGGCCCTAAGGCAACAGAGAACAGAAAACTCCCACCTAGACCTAAATGGGCCAGGGGCTTGCAAGAAAGGCATGAGGAGTCCCATGGGGCAAGGGGGCCCCGGGGGGGGGGGGGGGGAGTAGGGGGCTGCTAGTTGGGAGTGAGGGGCGCTGGCTGGGGTGGGGAGGGCAGGGAGCTGTGGGTCAGGAGTGAGGGGCACCGGCACAGCTGGGGGGAGGGAATGGGCACCTGCATGGCAGCAGGGCTGAACGTGAGTAGGATGCGAATCCTACCACAGGCTGGCAAGATGCAGACAGCTAAAAATAGCCCATCACCCCCTCCCCCACCCCCGCACCACAGCAGGGCCTGGGGCACAGGAGCTAAAAATACCTGCCATGCAGGCAGACAGCAGTGCTGCCAGCCCCTCCTGACTCAGGCAGCTCTTGCCACCCCATTCGTGCTATGGGGCTTAGGAGTGAGGGGCACCAGCAGGTCTGGGGGGGCACAGGGGGCTGCAGATCAGGAGTGAGAGGCACCAGCAGGGCTGGGGGCACTGACCTGGTACTTCCCAGACCCCAACAAAGACATCCCGCAGTGCCCTGGGCAATTATGCTCTTAGCATCCACTCTCAGGGCATGACTTTGCTTTGGGCGATTGTGATGGCCTGGTCTGACCTGCCCACAAGGGGACCCCAGGTAGCACTTCAACCCCAACCTCCCCAACTACCTCTGGCCTGGGCCACAAAGGACTCACTTGTCCCCAGAGCTGGGAGAACCCAGGCATCCTGGCTCCCAGCCTCCTGCTCTAACCCACCAGGCCCCACTCCCCTTCCCGAATCCAGGCACCAGCTCTCCCAGCTCCCACCCACCAGCCCCCACTGCCCTCCCAGAGCTGAAAGAACCCAGGAGTGCTGGCTCCCTGCCCTGCTGCCCCAACTCCCAACCCCAGACCTCCTCTACCTTCAGTTCCATCACGGGAAAGGGGCTGCATGCCCACTGCTCAGCACCAGGGGGCAATGGAAGCCCATCTGTAAGCACCCTGGGTTAGGCTAGGTGCCCCCATCCCAGGCAGGTGCAGCAGGGAAGCACCCTAATGTCCCTGCACCCACCCTACCCCCAGCTCAGCACCCCCTGGGGACTGGGACCCTGAATGCAACTCCCAACACCTGAGGACTGGAGAGAACCCAGGCATCTGAGCTCCCAGGCCCAATACTCTAAATCACCAGATCCCACCCCTCATCCAGAGCTGCGATATAACCCAGGCATCCAGGCTCCCAGCCCCTCTTTTCTGCTCCAACCTACCAAACCCCACTCTCCTCCCCGAGCTGGGCCAGAACCCAGGCATCTGGCTGCCCTACCTCTCTGGGGGTTCCAGCCTTCTTCCTAGCTAAAGCCATTAAAGAGACCAGGTCCCCAAGTGGTATGATATTCCCTCCAGCAGTGCCACCGCCCAACACCCCAGAGGCCACGCTCTTTCCCAGGGCAGTGCCCCCAGCTGTCCCAGTGCCAGGAGCCCCTCCTCTCCCCAAATCCCCAGAGGGGACAGGCCAGGCTGAGAGCAAGTCACCTCTCACCAGGTTTATTGTTAAGGTCATAATAGCAGCAGCTCCGACTCGTATTGCAGAATGGGATGGACAGGACCCCTCCCGCCAGCTCCCGCCCTCCCCCAGGCCCCGGACACTAGGGGTCCCTGGTCCATGAGGGAGGGAAAGGGATATCTATGGCTTCTCCAGGAGGCAGAGGTGTTGGTTTCCACTTGCGCCTTGGTCTTTTGCTTCTGTGTTTTGTTTTGTTTGTTTTTTTGTTCTGGATTTTTTGTTTTTTTTTCTCCTCACACACTTAAAAACAGGGAAAACAGACGGAAGGACAGACACGGACGGACAGACAGAGACAGACAGACGTGCGTCACGGGGGGCAACATTCCGAACAATGGGGCAAGGAAGGGGGACAAAGACGTGAGCTGGATGTCTGGGGTCTCCAAGAGGAAGATTTCCCCAGCCTGTCCCCCTTAAAAAGGGGGGAGGAGGGGAGACCCAGATGCCTGGATTCTCCTCTCCCCTCCCCCACCAGCCCCGAACACCGGGAAGGGGAAACACTCATGCAAAACCACAGAGAAACAAGATGAGGGGTGAGAAAGGGGGCACATACTGTGCCCCCCATTCCTTAAAGTCTAGATCCAGCAGGGAGGAGGGGCTGAAGCTAGGTCCCCCTCAGGATCTCTGTAGCTTCCCCCCCTCCCCCACAAAGAGCTCAGTCCTTGCTACAGAGTGCCCCTCCCCCAGGGGCCCAAATCCTCCAGGCCTTCTGGCTGGGGGTGGGGGTAGGGGTGGAGGCATCCTGGAGTCCATGCAGACAGGGGGAGGCTGGGTCCTCTCTATGAGCCCTAGAGAAAAGCCCCACAGGAGGGGGCATGGTGCCCATGGCAGGCAGTTCAACGGGGTGGTCTGGGTGGGCTCCACTCCACACAGTCAAGAGGCTCCCCCTCTTCCAGATAAGATGCAGAGCGCTGAACCGGACTCCTGGGTTCACAGTGGGGGGGAGCTGAAGCCAGGCGTTATGGCCCTGCCCCAGGGGCTGGAGGGCACCGAGGTCCCTCTACATGCAAGTCCTGGGGAGGTGGGAGCGGGGCTCCCAACCTGCATCCCACCCCCTGGCCAGTGCCAGGGAGGGGCTGGGGGCGGCTCCATCCTGGCTTCTGCCTATGGCTTTGAGAAAGGTCACCCCCGCCCCAGCCTCCCCAGCCAGAACAGCACAAAGCCGGGAGGCAGTCACAATCCTGGGGGAGAGAGAATGGGCTCGAGTCAGCAGGTGCCCCTCACTCCCGACCCACAACCCCCTGCCCCCCCAAGTGTCCTTTTCCTCCAAGCCTGCAGCCCCTTGCCCCCCCAGCCCTGCCCCTGCCCCCATTCCCAACCCACAAACCCCTGCTCCCCCAGCCCTGCTGATACCCCTTACTCCCAACCCACATGCCCTGGGCAATGGCAAGGGGAGCCATGGTCTGGCTAGTTGTGAAGCCCCCATCCCTGCGCAAGGCCCCCCAACACTGAAACACCTGCCCCCCCAGCACTATGGGGAACATGCCAATGCTGGGACTGTGCCCTGCCATAAGCACCCCCTGCCTCCACCCCAATGCACCCAGGGGCAGCCGCTCCCCTCTTCTCCACTCACAGCTGGGGGCCGGGTGTGGGGGCTAGTCCGAGTGAACGCTCTCCACCACAATGGTCGGCTTGTCACGCTGGGCGCTCTTGGACATCTGGCTGTTCAAGGTCTTCTCCTGGGGGTAGGGGGTCAGAGATGGCACCAGTCTCCCCCGCCCCCAACACACACACACACACACACACACACACACACACACACACACACACACGCACACTACATGACCCCAGCTTGTCCTTCCCCCACCTCATCCCCAAGGCCACACCTCAGGCTCCAACCACTGGTCCCTTCCCCCACCAGACCCCACTTCCTTCCCATAGCTTAGATAGAACCCAGGCATCCTGGCTCCCACCCCTCTACCTTATCAGACCCCTCCAACAGCTCAGACAGAAACCAGACATCCCAGTCTCCCTTGTTCTACTCCACCAAACCCCTCCCAGTGCTCAGACAGAACCCAGGTGTCCTGACTCCCACCCCCACCCCTACTTGCTCTGCCCTCACCAGACCCCTCCTGATGCTAGGAGAGAACCCAGGTGTCAGGCTGCCCTGTTTCTCTGGGGACATCAGCCTTCTCCCTAGCTTGAGATGTCCATGAAAAGGAAACCCAGCCCCCCACAGCCCTCCCCCACCCTATACCCATCTGCAGAGTCCCTCCCTCAAATGCCATACTCTTCCCAATCCCCATAACCCTCCCCCACAAACAGCTTCCCCTCCCTGCTCCTCATAGAACAACCCCCTGAGCTTGCGTGGGGGTATCTGTCCCCACTCCCTGCCCCCTCCATACCTCCACCAGCTGATGCCAGTGCTCAATGGGCTTGCGTGGGTTGGCCAGCATCTCGGCCCAGTGCTCCCGGCCAGGCCCCTCAGCGTCGCTGCCCACACGGCACATTCCAATCACTTCATTGTGCCCAATGCTGCCAGGGACACACAGGTCAGCCCCATGTGGAGACCTACCCTCACAGCCCAGCAAAAACCCAGGCATCCTGGCCCCTAGCCCCACTGCATCTCTAACACACCAGACCCCACTCCCCTCCCAGTGCTGGGAGAGAACCCACCTGGTTCCCACTGCTCCCTGCTCTAACCCATCAGGCCCTCCCCTAACAGAGCTGGGGCAAAACCCAGGCATCCAGGCCCCCTACCCCTTCCTCTCCCAGAGCTGGGGTTGAATCCAGACATCCTGGCTCCCAATGCTACCTGCTCTAGTCTATCAGGCCCTCCCTCCCTTCAGAGCTGGGAGGGGACCCAGGAGTCCAGCCCCCTGGGTAAGATGCCAGGGTTCTGGCCCCATGCTGGGAGAGCAAGAGGGGGCCCAGCAGGCTGAGCAGGAAGCAGCGAGGGATAGGTGAACCCCCAGGCCAGCCCCACACACCAGTCATAGTCCATGACGGCGATGGTGAGACTGACATGCTCCATGCTCTCATTGGGGATGTCAAAGACAAGTGCCTCATTGTAGCTGGGGTTCAGCGTGTTCTTCTTGATGGACGTCTTCCTCTTCTTCAATCGCCGGCCCTCGCACATCAGTGACGCCTTCACATACGGGTCTGGGGGCCACATGAAGGTCAGCTCCCCCAGCCCCTGGCCTACACCTCCCCACCCTTTCAATATCTCCCTCCCCTCAACCCAGCACTGCCCCCCCTTCCCCAATCATCATCCCCACCCCCAGCCCTGCAGCTTGCCCAGCATCCCCCTCCTTGCCCCTGCAAAACAGACCTGAGAAGCCGGTGAGGTCCATGGCCTTGAGGTTGGAGGCACGAATGATGGTGACAGTGAGGCGACCAGCTGTGGGCAGGTAGCACAGCGAGAAGTTCACCTCACCCAGGTCTGCTTTCTCCTGTGTGGGAGACCGGAGTCAGTCTAGGGAGCAGGACTGAGGGGAGGGAAGACCCCCCCAGGGCCCTGGCAGGGGAGGGATACTGTGATGGGGGCTGAGATAGTGGATGGGGGGGGAGCCGCACTGGCACCGCCCGCTCCCCAGCTGAATATTTCATGCCCTTTACCAGGCTGGAGCCATTTCCTGCCCATCAATATTAATGCCCCCGCCCCGGGCGCCAGCCCAGCCCGTGTGTTACAGTCCCTGGCACGTGGCCACAGCTGCCCCCCAGGGGATGCACCGTGCTGGAGATGGCAGGGGTGGGGGGTGGGCAAGAAACATGACCCCAGAGCCAGGGGAGCAACAAAGGGTGCTCATGCAGCCCAGGGGCTCTGTGGGGAGAGGATGGTTGGGAGGACTAGGGGGGAGAGGAGCCCCCTCCATTGTGGCAGCTGGGCACGGTGAAGGGGAGGGCATGGGTGCAGTGGGGCAATACCCAGGGACACATGTGGGACACAGGAGGTCAGGGGAGTGGGGAGCTGTCCCCTCCACTCCGGGCCAGGTTGCCTGTGCCTTGTGAGCTGGGCAAAGTGACGCCCAGGGCACAGGACTGTAGGTCGGGGGTGAGGGGCACCAGCAGGGTTGGGGGCAGGGGGCTGCAGGTTAGGGGAGAAGGAGGGGTGCAGATGATGATGAACAGCCACTCAGCACATGTTCTCCCCCCCCACCTTCCCCCCAAAAAACCAGCCTGTGGTGCCATGGGGAATTGGTATGAAATGCACCCTTCCTCACCCCCATACCGGGCATGGCTCAGTACCACAACCCTGAGTCACAGCTGTTGTTGTGGGGGGGAGTTAGGAGGGCCACAGGCTCACACAGACAGACTCATAGGCACAAGCCCAGGTCTTCAGGTGCACCCCCTCCCCCAACAACCTGAAAATCAGCTGATTTCCAGTAGCTCCAAACCCCAACTGCACAATCAATGAGAATTGCATTGTGCTCCCAGCAGCGTTCAAGACTGGCAGTAAGAACAAGGGCCTGCAGGTTGGGAGTGAGGAGCACCTGCGGGGCTGGAGGGGGCAGAGGACTGCGGGTCAGGAGTGAGGGGCATCAGCAGGGCTGGGGTGGAAGGAGGGGAGAGGGGGGTCACATCCACCCATGTGTCCTATTTCCTCTCCAGTTCCATACACAATAAATTCATCTCAAATCTTCCGAAGGACAGAAAAGAGGCTGGCAATGAATTTACAATTGTGTCTCAAGGCACCAGGGCCTGGGGGGGAGGGCAGTAGGGGGAGGGGTCAGGATCTTGGCGGGTAGGAAAGGAGATGGGGTGGGGAGAGGGTATCAGCTGAGATCCCAGGTCCCCCACAGACCGCCCACCATAGGCAACATGTCTAGGGACCTTCCCTGGCCCGTGTCCACCCCCCCGCCCTCCCCAAACACACTGGGACCTCGCAGGCACCTCCTTCCCCCTCCCCTATCCTTCAGGGGCTAAGTTAGGGGCAGGTATTACCCCACAGGGTTGTTGGTGCAAGGCATTTGACATGTCCTGAGGTTAGATTCCCCCCCCTCCGTGGTCTGGGGGTGTTTACTGGACCTCCCCAATCAAGAGAGTAGCAGCCCTTCCCTAGTGCCCAGCTCATCCACTGAGCAAAAGACCTTTGCTGCAGGGAGGCTGCTGGTCACAGCCCCTGGAGACACAGCCCTGGAGGGAGGGAACGCAGGTGCAGGCAGCCCCAGGGGGGGCTGGGAGCAGCGGGTGCAGCAGCCTGCACCAGTGCCTGTCTAAGCATGGAGGATACGAGTGATCTCCATCCCCTCCCCTGGCCCACAGGGGCAAGGAACCAAGGAGGTGGAGACTCCAAAGAGGGCAGGTCCCTGGCGTCCCAGTCTAGCTCTGGAGGCACTAAGCCAGTGGGTGGGGATAGGGACTGGGCTGAGCGAGGCTGAGCTGCTTTCAGGTAGCACAGCAGTGAGGGTGAAGTAGATCAAACAGAATCAAACTCTCCTGTATCCCAAGCCCTCCTGTGTTGCCTCTTCTTTCCCTTCACAGACGTTCCTTCAGCCACATGGACCCCTCATCTTCTCAATCTGTCCTCTTGGGAATCACAGACTCATAAAAGAAGTCAGGGCTGGAAGGGACCCCCAGAGGTCATCTATTCTAGTCCACACCCCTGCATGAGACAGGATCAGCCCTAGCCAAACCATCTCCTACCAATCCATCATCTACTCTAACCTCTTAGCAAAGCTACCACCCACCCAGACACAATACAGACATCACACCCAAACCTGCCACAGGTGAAGCAGGGGTATCGCAGCAGCCAACATCCTGCTGCTGTAAAGGTTGTTCATATACGTTCAAGAGATCCCAGGTAGAGGCCATACCCCCACTAAAGAGGAGGGCAAAAATCCCCACAGTCTACACCAATCTGACCACAGAGTAAAATTCCTTCCCAACTTCAAACATGGTGATCGGTCTGACCCTGAGTGGAGGGGCAAGACCCTTTAGTCAGGAATCTCCAGTTTTAAGTCCCAGCAGAAGCACTGGCATAGCCCAATCCCAATCCCCAGCCTGGGCTACAGCCAACACCCAATGCCTCTGAGAAAAGTTTAAAAACAGGCTGACACATATAGCAGAAAAGGACGGAAGGGGGCAACTAGCAAAGCCCAGAAGCATGGGAAATCCCCCTAGTAGAACATGGGCATAACTACACCTAGATCATCCCTGACCAGTGCCTGTCCAACCTCTCCTTGAATCCCTCCAGTGATGGAGAGTGCACAGAGCTCCCTAGACAGTCTATTCCACTGCCTCACTGCTCTAACAGTGAAAAAGTTTTTCCTAATACCCAACTTAAACCTGCTTTGCTGCAACTTCAAGCCACTGCTCCATATTCTATTGGTGGGAAGAGGTGCATGACTGTGGCTAGAGTTGGGGTGAGTCAGGGATGGACTGGGTTCAAAAGGGGGACTGATTTCAGTCTGGAGGTTGAGCTTTGAGGTTGAGCTGAGAGGAGTCAGGGTTGAGCTGAGTTGTATGGTGACGGGTTGAGTTTTGGGATGGAGTTGGGTGGCTTCGAGAACAGAGCTTGGTGACTGGGTTGGGTTGGGCTGGACTGAACTGAGATACAACTGGGTTTGGTCGGGTTGAGTTGAGCTTGGTGACTGGGTTGAGGTTTAGAGTTCACTGGATTTGGGTGGATATATGAATAGAGTTTGGTGATTGGGCTTGGGTTCAGGTTGGATGGCTAGAGTGACTTCATGCCCAGTGAAGTTGAATGGCATTTGAGAGCTGGTGGTTGGGGTTGATCAAATCAGATTCAACCTGTGTTAGGGGAGGGTGGCACCAAGTTGGGTCACAGGCAGATTGGGGGGGGCGGCGCTAGTGCACTTTCATCACCTCCTTTGATTCCTGCTCCACCCCAAGTTTAAAACCAACTCCCTGGCAGTGGCAGCAGCATTTCTAGCCAGGCAGTGCTGAGGGACTCACTTGACTTCAAAGCTCATTATCATCTACCCAATCAATCAATCTACTTCATACCACAGGTGTTAACAACCCTGTCTTCTTTCTTAATAGTCTTAATGTTCCACCAATCAGGCTGTCCTTTGTTCTGCAGTTCTGCTGTGTGTTCTCTGCTCCTGGTGATGAAGCTCCTATTTCACAGCCCTGCAGATTGTTTTTAACTCTTTCCAATGAAGTTATCTTTGTTTTGCTTCACCCTTAAACTGCATAATACAGCCCTGGGCCCCTAGCATATTAGCAAAGCTTCTAGTATATTTTAATGGGCAAAAATATGTGTTGTTTCATATGTAATAAATCACACACCATTTCACCCCCCTTTCCTAAATCCTAGATCTGCCCATGGGTGGAGTCAAATCTCCATTGCTATCCACCCTTCTGTGACAAACATCCTCCCTGCCCCAGCCCAACTCACAGAGCTGGCCTCCAAGATGTCCCTCCAGATGGGTGCCTCATCATCACGCTCAGCCATTTCCAGCAGGTTGTCCAGCACCACCTGCCCAATGAGGTCATGGCGGGAGAAGCGGTCAAAGTCGTAGACACTGAAGTGCAGCTTGCGGGAGGGCAGCTCAGCAAAGGGCACATTGAAGCTGAAGGTCTCGTTGAAGACAGGGTTGAGTGTCTTGCGATGCACCTTGGTCTGGAACTTCTTCTTGCGGTCGGGCAGCAAGTACATCTTGACATAGGGGTCTGAGAAGCCATTGGCGTCCTTGGCTGGCAGATCCAGGGCCCGTAGGATCTTCACCACCAGCTGCTCTGAGGCATAGGCATAGCGCAGGGCAAAGCTGATACGCCCGCAAGGGGTGGCCTCTGCCTTGCGGTGCTCTGCTTCCCCCGAGCGCTGCCGGTACAGCTCTGGCTTGATCTGCCCGATGCTGGTGACCTGCTCTGGTTTGTCCTCCCCGCCATGGCTGCCCACATCCGGGCTCGACAGCTGCTGAGTCATGGGGCGCGGCAAGGTGTTGTACCTAGGGGGAAAGGGCAGGGCAGGGCTGGGACCAGGGGCCAGATGCAACCGGGGATAGTACCAACCAAAGAGCACCCATGAGATGCTGCTCTGGTACATAGCTGCCCCCTGCCCTCTCCCTCCACCCCGCCAACCCACACCCACCCTTGCACTCCCCCACTTCCCACCCCATCAGCCCCTCACACTCTCCCCCTGCCCCACCACCTTACACCTGCCCCCTATGATTCTCCCTCTCCCATCTCCTTCCCATGCCACCACTTCCCTTGCTTGGGGTGGCTTCTCTACCTAAATCTGGAGCTCCCCGTCCCTCACTGACAGCTCACCTGGGAGCGGGTGCCAGGCTGGCCACCTGCTGGTGGGAGTGGGCATTGGGGATGCCCCCACTACCCTCCTTCTCCACGGGCAGGTCAGGAGAGGTCTGGCTCAGCTTAAGTGTTGCCTCGGGGTAGGAGTCCATGTCAAGGTAGGAGCGCTCAGGCATCTCAGGCCCTAGCTCGACCCGCTCAGCCAGCAGGTCCCCAAAGGGTGAATGGTGCAGGTGGCCATGGTCCTTGCGAGGTGTCTGTAAGGCCCCTTTATCCCTCCAGGGGATCCAGCATAGTTTCCAGGACACAAAGAGCGAGACGCCCAACAACACAATGCCGCAGAAGGTGACGATGACAGAGAGCAGGCTGACAGAGATGTCTGCGGGAGTGGGGAGAGGCTAGGCTGGACACAGGGAGGGCATTTGTCCCCGATCACACCCATCAGCCCCCAGAGTCACTTAGATGGGGACATGACCCCTGTGGATGATGGACATGGCCACATTCCACCAGCAGGACCCTAGATGCCCCAAACTGTAGCTGATGCTACATCCCACAAGTAGGACCCTACATTCCCCAGACCATGGATGTGACCCCATCCCAACAGCAGAACTCTATGTGCTCCAGACCATGGATGTGGCCCCATCCCACCCCAAGTCCTCCTGGAAGTGGGCACTGCCCAGAACCTCCACATCCCTGTCCCCCACAGTATGGATGTGGCCAAGTTGCACTGATATGCTGACGCATCCCAAGCAACACCCCAACCAACAGTGGACATCCCTGCATCTTCCCACAGCACCCCTCCGATGCCACAGAAGGTGAACACGCACCCACCCCCACGCAGACCCAGCATATCATGCCATCCAACCAAGTCTTGGGTGCAGCACAGTGTGGGTGCACCTCTCCTGACAAGCTGGTGGTGCCTGCAGGGCAGGGATGGAGGTTGCTATTCCTGACCCAAGTCTATGGGGAAGGGGTAGCTCATGGGACACAGCAAGTCATTGGTTACCCAGGAACAGGTGTGTGCATCAAGGCAGGGAAGGATGGTGTCCCTAACCTGAGCTGGGGGGAAGCAAGGTGCTCATGAAGAGGGAATCCGGCAGAAGCCCTTACCCGAGTTAATGGGATGAGGTTGCCCCCAGGGCAGGCAGGCTCCCTTCCCTGAGTCAGTGGGACAGGAGTGCCCAGAGTGGGGGTGGTAAAGGGGGCCCCTTACCGGCATCAGTGGGCCGGGGGTGCCCACGGTTGCGCAGCAAGTCAGTGAACTCGAGGCACTTCTCATGCTGCTCCAGTGCCCGCAGGCTGAAGCACAGCTCCTTGACCAGGGTAAGCGCACTGCGGCACACATCCTCCTCGTAGTCGCCCGACATGGCACCACTGCATCTGCCGCTGCGGGGACACGCACATACAAACACACAAACACACTCTGTGAGACACTGCACCCTACACCACACCCACCCCTGCACCCCTCAGATAAGCACACCCACCCTTGGGGTAATGCATAGCGACCGCCCTTGAACTTGACAGCAACCACCCCAGCACACAGGCCATGCACCCAGCCAGCAGCTCCCAACACAGCCTGTCTTCAGGAGCCCCCAACCCAGGCCCCCTGGGGATCCCTCCCCTACCACTCCAGCCCCAAACCCTAATGATGCACCCCAGGGTCTTCTAATCCAGCCCTCATAAACCCCCAGCCCCTGCTCTGAGTCCCTCACCAGCACCCCTCTGCCCCCTCCCAAAATTCATGCCCCACTCACCAGTCTCTGTCACCTGCAGGGTCCACGGGGAGGCAGGGGCTCCCAGAGAGCTGAGTCCAGAGTGGTGCGGGGGTGCAGAAGGGGGGAATCACTGCCAAGGCCAGGTGGTCCGTGTCCACATGAGGGGGATGCAAGGGCCCAAGTCTCCCAGGCAGGGCAAGGCCAGAGCCATGCAGTGCAGAGGTGTGGGGGAGGGCACCCCCGACAGGCAGCCCCAGGATCAGACCAAGCGTGAATGTGGGCGTGAGGAAGGCACAGAGTCAGGGGGCAGGGGCCCAGCTGGGGACAGGGCTGGTGGGGCCCTCCATGGAAGGGGTGCAGCTCTCCAACGCTTCACTGCAGGAGGCGGCAGCGGGAACCCAGTGGCTCTCAGCCGGAGGGGGAAGGGAGATGCACCAGTGCCCGTGGCACAGATTCCCAGGTACCTGCAGGTGGGAAAGGTCATTAGAGGGAGGACCCAGGACCTTCAGACCCTGCCCCACACCACTCCCATATACCCCATGCCCCGCTACATCCCAGCCCTGGGACCAAGCAGCAAAACATGGCTCCTTCCCCCACTATATCCCAGGCCTGGGATCCCAAACCAAGACGTAGCCTCGTCCCCCACTATATCCCAGTCCTGGTACCCAGCACTGAGACATGGCCCTGTCCCCCACTATACCCCAACCTGGGGACCCCAGCACCAAGATACAGCCCCGTCCCCCACTATATCCCAGCCCTGGGACCCAGCACTGAGACACAACCCCCATCATCTCTGCTTCACCTGAGACTTTTCACCTCAATGCCCTCACACACCCAATCCCCCCTCCCTGCCTTTTCACCCCAGACCCTGTGTCACCTCAAATCCCCTTGCCCACACCTGCGACACCTGTCCCACCACCCCACAGCAGCCACAGTCCTAGGCTCTCCCTCCCCAAAACTCATTCAACAGCTCAGAGCCCCTGGGAATGAGAGAGAGCTGACTCAGGGGTCTCAAGGAGGGGAGTGGGGTCTGGTGGGGTGGGGCAGTGGGTGGCGGTTGGGAGCCATGTTCTGGGCTTCTGTCCCCAGAGCAGACGGGGAGGAGAGTCTAGTGGTTAGAGCAGGGAGGGGGCTGGAAGCCAGGCCTCCTGGGTTCGATCCAGCTCTGGGACAGGAGTGGGAGCCTCCTGGGCTAGAACAAGGGAGGTCAGAGCCCGGATGCCTGGGTTCTAGCCTGCCATCCCTGTAGGGGAGTGGCTGGGGCCCC